CGTAGAAGTTTATATGAGCAATTTCTTTTTTCCATAATATGTGTCTGTGTAAACACTGCCGTTGGAAGTGATTATGGAAATTATGTTTTTTTTTGCATTTTTTTCCTATTTTGTTTATTTCATATTCGTTTTTCGTTATCATTTTCATGAGGTAATTTAACAAACAACCAACAAGGTTTATAATAGAAATTTAAATAAGTGACATTTGGTAAAACTGAGGGTTATATTGTATATTTATTTAAATTTCCGAGTGTGTAGTTAAGTATGTGCGTATGAAATACACATTTATATGTAAATTTACAAAAAAAAAAAAAAAACAGCAAATAAACATTTTTTAATATCCTTATTTAAAATCACCTGGTAACACACACACACACAACGTTGGTGAAGTTATGGCAAAGGATGCTGAACATTATAATAATGACTAATTAATTCGTAAATGTTTTAAATATTAAATGACATTTTTTGCTTCGTAGAATATTAAGCAAAAAAGGCCAATGAAGATGCTTAATTTCAGACAAAAAATTTGATGAAACAGGTAAAATTGGGTTTATAAGCAGCAAATTTAATTATACGGAAAATACTTTTTTTGATAAACTTAAAAATATGGTTAAATGTTTCTAGGGTAGTTAATTATAATTTTTTTTAATTAATAATATCAAGTTTTGTATTTGACTAGCTAAGAAACATTAATTAGTTGTAAAAGGAAGTCTTACGTGATTCCATAAAGTTGTAGTACTGCAGTACAAATTTCATGGTTGAGTCTAGTTCAGTTCTAGTTCAGTTCTAGTTCAGATCTAGTTCAGTTCTAGTTCAGTTCTAGTTCAGTTTCTAGTTCAGTTCTAGTTCAGTTCTAGTTCAGTTCTAGTTCAGTTCTAGTTCAGTTCTAGTTCAGTTCTAGTTCAGTTCTAGTTCTAGTTCAGTTCTAGTTCAGTTCTAGTTCAGTTCTAGTTCAGTTCTAGTTCAGTTCTAGTTCAGTTCTAGTTCAGTTCTAGTTCAGTTCTAGTTCAGTTCTAGTTCAGTCTAGTTTAGTTCTAGTTCAGTTCTAGTTCAGTTCTAGTTCAGTTCTAGTTCAGTTCTAGTTCAGTTCTAGTTCAGTTCTAGTTCAGTTCTAGTTCAGTTCTAGTTCAGTTCTAGTCAGTTCTAGTTCAGTTCTAGTTCAGTTCTAGTTCAGTTCTAGTTCAGTTCTAGTTCAGTTCTAGTTCAGTTCTAGTTCAGTTCTAGTTCAGTTCTAGTTCAGTTCTAGTTCAGTTCTAGTTCAGTTCTAGTTCAGTTCTAGTTCAGTTCTAGTTCAGTTCTAGTTCAGTTCTAGTTCAGTTCTAGTTCAGTTCTAGTTCAGTTCTAGTCAGTTCTAGTTCAGTTCTAGTTCAGTTCTAGTCAGTTCTAGTTCAGTTCTAGTTCAGTTCTAGTTCAGTTCTAGTTCAGTTTCTAGTTCAGTTCTAGTTCAGTTCTAGTTCAGTTCTAGTTCAGTTCTAGTTCAGTTCTAGTTCAGTTCTAGTTCAGTTCTAGTTCAGTTCTAGTTCAGTTTAATTCTGAAATAAAACAGATTATGAACCACTACTAAAACGTCATGCCAGTACGTATGATTGATTTCTTGCCAGTTAAAATAATAATCATACGCCACCGTTTCTAATGGTAACAAAAAAAATAATTATGTACATAAAACAACTTCGTGAGTAATAATCATATTTCTTCATTTAAAGAAAGATCAGTTCTAAACAAATGTGCTGAAAAAGTTAAATATACATTATTTATAATCTTAAAGTTTTTCTTCCTATTTACAAATTAAAAACAGTATATTTTCCACTTCTTATTATCTAATCTTTAAGCATGTGTCAATGTTGCTGTTAATGTCAAAAGTTATTAATGACAATAATGTGGCTTTTACCCTATACATTCAAATAAATATCAACCCAATAAACCTAAATTTAAATGTTGGACCAATATCAAATATAGTTTCAAATTTATGATATTCTCCTCAAGAAATCAAAATTTTGACAACATATCAAATCACTGTTAAGAAATTTATATTTATAAATTTATTCAAATTTCCAAATGATAAGTAACCTTCATGTTTGCTGGGTACCACACAAATACAACCATAAATAATATAATGTATATATCAACATCTATTGTTTTTAACTTGTCTCTGACATTATTGTCAATAAATCTGAACGTAAGTGTGCATGTAAAATATGAATATTTTATCTATTGTTTTTACTAAATACATATATTAGAACATGATTTATACCCATCCTTATTGTTGTATAAGTAGAGTTTAATGTTTATTTTATTTAGCCTTATTGTATGTAGTATAAAGTTCGATTAATTTAATTGAATTTTAACCTCATTCTAAGTTTAGTCTTAGATAAGTCTATAGATATAAAAAAATATTTAACAATTGACATCATTATTATAAGATAATGTTGATAATAACCTTATGCCAGAATCATTATCATTTCCCTTCAATATATTATTAGACAAAAGTAAGATTTGTGCGTGTGTAAATGTATTTTAAGGACATGATAATATTTCATTCCACATATACATACACATATTTATAAATATGGAATGGTTGCTTGCTGTCCATTCAAGGTAGTTTGTCTATTGTTTTCTTAGACTAATGAAAGTTTATATTTGTAAGATTTGATAATGAGTAAGGTTTTGTCAAAATGTCTGCAGTCTTATAGACCTATTATTTATGATTGAACAGCGTTATCAAAAACAATAAATCTAGAACTGAACTAGAACTGAACTAGAACTGAACTAGAACTGAACTAGAACTGAACTAGAACTGAACTGAACTAGAACTGAACTGAACTAGAACTGAACTAGAACTGAACTGAACTAGAACTGAACTAGAACTGAACTAGAACTAAACTAGAACTGAACTAGAACTGAACTAGAATTTAACTAGAACTGAACTAGAACTGAACTAGAACTGAACTAGAACTGAACTAGAACTGAACTAGAACTGAACTAGAACTGAACTAGAACTGAACTAGAACTGAACTAGAACTGAACTAGAACTGAACTAGAACTGAACTAGAACTGAACTAGAACTGAACTAGAACTGAACAGCAACATTGACACATGCTTAAGGATTAGATAATAAGAAGTGGAAAATATACTGTTTTTATTTGTAAATAGGAAGAAACACTTTAAGATTATAAATAATGTATATTTAATTTTTTTCAGCACATTTGTTTAGAACTGAGCTTTCTTTAAATGAAGAAATATGATTATTACTCACGAAGTTAGATTACATCTGTTGTATGTACATAATAATTTTTTTTGTTACCATTAGAAATGGTGGCGTATGATTATTATTTTAACTGGCAAGCAATCAATCATACGTACTGGCATGACGTTTTAGTAGTGGTTCATAATCTGTTTTATTTCAGAATTAAACTGAACTAGAACTGAACTAGAACTGAACTAGAACTGAACTAGAACTGAACTAGAACTGAACTAGAACTGAACTAGAACTGAACTAGAACTGAACTAGAACTGAACTAGAACTGAACTAGAACTGAACTAGAACTGAACTAGAACTGACTAGAACTGAACTAGAACTGAACTAGAACTGAACTAGAACTGAACTAGAACTGAACTAGAACTGAACTAGAACTGAACTAGAACTGAACTAGAACTGAACTAGAACTGAACTAGAACTGAACTAGAACTGAACTAGAACTGAACTAGAACTGAACTAGAACTGAACTAGAACTGAACTAGAACTGAACTAGAACTGAACTAGAACTGAACTAGAACTGAACTAGAACTGAACTAGAACTGAACTAGAAACTGAACTAGAACTGAACTAGAACTGAACTAGAACTGAACTAGAACTGAACTAGAACTGAACTAGAACTGAACTAGAACTGAACTAGAACTGAACTACAACTAAACTAGAACTGAACTACAACTAAACTAGAACTTAAAAAGATATACATCCGTTTCCTTGCAAAAGGGAATAGAACATCAAACAAATGAATTGAGACTATAAAAAGTGATGTATAATTTCAAAATATAGCCCATAGTGTCGATTTACCTCTTTAATATTTACCACATATGCAAACTATTCATAATTACACAAAAAAACAAACTTTAACCTCCTGCTAAACATTTATTTTCTCTATAAATTTAATTTAAAATATTTCAAATATACAACTTTGCACTTTGCCATCACACATAGAAAATTTCATAAAAATTTTATTTCAAAACCACAAATTGATTGAAATCTCTTCTCTCGCTCTTTTGGCTCTGACTGTGGCTTTTTAATCATATTTATGCATATGAACACCAAAACCAATCTATATGTCGGTCTAGAGCTACATTCAGTTATTTCCCATTTATTTTTTTGTTTTTTTTTTCTAAAAATAAAGAAAGTGAAAAAAATTGTGGGATTTTCAAACTATTATTTGATTAATATAGATTTGTGAACATACAAATATAAGCATATGTGTGTGTGTAAAATGTGTGCCTGTAAGTAGGGTGGGGGTGGGAGGTTGTGGGTGTGTGGGTGGTCGTCTATATTGTAAAATCATAAAAGTATAAAAAGAATTGATATGAAAGTTTTGACAACTAGTTTTTCTAGTTCAACTAAAATAAATCAAAATAAATGAGATAAAATGAAATAATATAGAAAATTTGTACAAAATATATGACACAAATATTATAGGAAATATATGTGTTTTGAAAAGAAAATTATAAAATGAAAGAGAAAAAACTCTAGCAGATGTGACCTTTATAGAGATAAAATTGATATATTTATGGTAGACTTTATATGGAAGCAGTAAGTGAAAACAATATAAAAAATTATGTACAACTTGCTATTGAAAGTATACCATATTGGTCCTCGATTTCATCTAGCTCCCATAAGAGTCATATAAGTTTTATTAGAACGGAAATCTATCTACCAATTGTTAGATGTATTACTTGTTATACACTCTTACTTGTTTCTTACTGATTTGTTTTCTCCTTTCTTCTCTTTACAGGTCCTGAAGGCTGTAATCTCTTCATATATCATTTGCCGCAAGAATTCACTGACACCGATTTGGCATCAACTTTCCTGCCATTCGGAAATGTAATTTCCGCCAAAGTTTTCATCGATAAACAGACAAACTTGTCCAAATGTTTTGGTTTTGTATCGTTTGATAACTCAGAATCGGCGCAGGTAGCCATTAAGGCAATGAATGGTTTTCAAGTGGGCACCAAGCGTCTAAAGGTGCAACTTAAGAAACCCAAAGATGCCTCCAAGCCATACTAACATAGAAAGCAACAATTGCAGCTAAAAATTCACCTCCCACTAACAACCAGCAAAACATCAAATATATTTCGGAAATACCTTTGGAAAAGTAAACAGCAAATATGTTTAACCTAGTAAATCCTTAAGAAAGGAGGTAATTTTTTTGAAATTAGATATTGAAAACAATTAAATTGTTTTAAGTTTCTTTTTTTTTTTTAAATAACTAGACTTTTAAAGTTTGTGAATTTTTAATTTAAATGAATTTGAATTTCTTCTTTTTTTTATAATTTTATAAATTTGGTTTAGTGTTTAGTTGTTAAATATTTTGGCTTTTTAATATAAATTTTATTTTCTTTACATTTTTTTGTTAAATATATATAAAATAATTTTATATAAGTTTTACGTTTTGTTATTTGTTATTTTATAAAAAACATTTATTATAATTTCTAACTTTTATTTTTTAAAACTGAATTTTAAAGGGCCAAGAGCAACATTAACAAAACAACTCAGAAAAAATATTTTGAAATTGTCAAAATTTTGTTTAAATGTTTAAGACCAAAATTTGTTTCTATTACTTTTTTTTTAAATCTCTGGATTAACTGTTATACATGTATACTAAGTGTTATACTGTATAAGCTTAAGTTTTTATTCTAAAATATTATATTTCAAAATCAACTGTTAAAATGTTATTAAACAAGACGTTTATATTTTATATAGTTTTACGTAAAATTACTTGAATATTTTTATTATTTGCGTATAAATTGTGAATTTGCTTCTTTTTTTATGTAATAATATTTATGGGTTTAACTTATAAATTAATGTTGCCATAATTGTTTTAAATTTATAAACCAAAAAAAACAAACTGAATTCTTTATAAATCTAAAAACAAACTAAGACTTAAATAAATAAAATCTTACTAATAAACCACATTTACCTGAACAAATCTTTAAAGTCACAATTAAAAACATTAAAAAAAATTACTAGATTTCTGTATAAAACAATTATACAAATTGAAATCTACATTTTGTGTTTTTTTCTCTTAATAAAATCAATTTAAATTTAATATCGTTATAATTTTTCAAACTCTTTTTTTCTCTGCAAAATATGCAATACATCAATGCTTGTCTGCACGCCCTAAAAGTAGTCTTTTGTTTTCTTATTTTATATAATGTTTACTTTAGCTTTGCTTTTTTCCTGTTACTTGTTCTTTCTTTACACAAAAAACATTATTTTATATTTAAATATATTTTACATAATCTCACAACTAATCTCTTTATTTAATCTATAATCTATTTTATTTGTTTAAAAATATCTTTTGAATTGTTTGTTATTTATATTATTTAAAAAAATGAAAATTAAATGAAATCTTGAGAAGAAAAAAAACAAATTGAATTACATTTATAAATATTTAAAAGATACTTACTTACTCATACATACATACATAATTTCCTTTTAATTAATTGTATTGTTTAGTTTTATCTTGAGTTCATTTTTCATTCTGAAATACTACTATATATATATATTTAAATAAAACTTTGTTCTTTGTTCTTATTACATTTCAGTTGTTTTTTTTTATTTTTTGTTATAAAAGCAGTAAACAAAAAATGACTTGTAAAATCTTTTATTTACATCGAATTTTTCCCACTTATTTTTTACTCTAGGTTTCTATAACAAAAACAAAATAGTTAGCTGGTTATGGGCGATATTCTTGCTGGGAGAACTTATTTATAAAACATTACGACAGATGTTTAGTTTCACATATTCGAAGTACCAGTTCTATGAACTGAACTAGAACTGGAACTGTACTAGAACTGAACTAAACTGAACTGGAACAGAACTAGAACTGAACTGGGACTGAAATTGAACTGAACTGAAACTGAACTGAAACTGAACTGAAACTGAACTGAAACTGAACTGAAACTGAACTAGAACAGAACTAGAACAGAACAGAACTAGAACAGAACAGAACAGAACAGAACTAGAACAGAACAGAACTAGAACAGAACAGAACTAGAACAGAACTAGAACAGAACTAGAACAGAACTAGAACAGAACTAGAAAGAACTAGAACAGAACTAGAACAGAACTAGAACAGAACTAGAACAGAACTAGAACAGAACTAGAACAGAACTAGAACAGAACTAGAACAGAACTAGAACAGAACTAGAACAGAACTAGAACAGAACTAGAACAGAACTAGAACAGAACTAGAACAGAACTAGAACAGAACTAGAACAGAACTAGAACAGAACTAGAACAGAACTAGAACAGAACTAGAACAGAACTAGAACAGAACTAGAACAGAACTAGAACAGAACTAGAACAGAACTAGAACAGAACTAGAACAGAACTAGAACAGAACTAGAACAGAACTAGAACAGAACTAGAACAGAACTAGAACAGAACTAGAACAGAACTAGAACAGAACTAGAACAGAACTAGAACAGAACTAGAACAGAACTAGAACAGAACTAGAACAGAACTAGAACAGAACTAGAACAGAACTAGAACAGAACTAGAACAGAACTAGAACAGAACTAGAACAGAACTAGAACAGAACTAGAACAGAACTAGAACAGAACTAGAACAGAACTAGAACAGAACTAGAACAGAACTAGAACAGAACTAGAACAGAACTAGAACAGAACTAGAACAGAACTAGAACTGAACTAGAACTGAACTAGATCTGAACTAGAACTGAACTAGAACTGAACTAGAACTGAACTGGAACTGAACTAGAACTGAACTAGAACTGAACTAGAACTGAACTGGAACTGAACTAGAAGAGAAATAGTACTGAACTTGAATTTTAGCTGTTATATTATCATTTATTTCCTGCAATATCTGCAAGCTCCGAAAATTGTTGAGTGAAAAGGATTATTACCTTTTCTAATTAAAAACATTAAAAATTGACTTTGAAATCACAAAATAATATAAACCGCTTAAATCACAAGCAAAGTTACTAATTTGAAAAATCAACCCTTAAAACTTCTGAAAACTTAATACGCCACAACAGGTTTATGAAATGAAATATTCATAACAAACAAGTAAGAGTGTTATATTCGGCCATGCCGAATCTTATATACCCACCATCAAATCATCCTTATAAATTAACTTTGATATTATCGATCTATGTTGAATCATATGTCGATATTATTATGAACATCAGGGAAATATTTGGAAGAGGGAATTTAATAAAGGCTTAAGCATGGACCGTGCTCTTCCGAATTAAAAATATTAATTTTGTTTGATCCAATATTTATAACCATAAACTCATACAAAACTTGTTTATGTGAAATTTCATCGCTGTAGTCGCATTTGAGCGTTACAGCCAGTAACGAGCGTTACAGTCACTATCTGAGGGGGACCTTATATGGAAGGTGGGGTCAGTTATAGACCGATCCCCATAAAATGTGATAAATAGTTTTTGGCTAGTACAAAACTTGTTTACGTAGAATTTCACTGCTGTAATAGCATTTTTGAGTCAGTAGTGAGCTTTAAAGTAATTTTCCGAAGGGGACCTTATAGGGGGGTATGGTCAATTACAGACTGATCCTCATAAAATTTAGTGAGAGATTGTAGCTAATACGAAAATTGTTCATGTCGTACTCAGTACTCGCAGTTTTAAGCTAGTAATGAGCTTTAAAGTCATTTTCTGAAGGGGACCTTACAAGGGGGATAGGGCTAATTAAGGACCGATCCTTATAAAATTTGATAAAGAACTTTTGGCTCACACAAAACTAGTTTGTACCTTAAAGTTATTTTCTGAAGGAGACCTTAATACGAAAATTGTTCATGTCGTACTCAGTACTTGCAGTTTTAAGCTAGTAATGAGCTTTAAAGTCATTTTCTCATAAAATTTAAGAAAATGATTTTAGTTCCTATAAAAATTTTTTATGTCGAATTTTATTGCTATATATATGCACATATGTTTCTTAAAGTCAGATATGAGCATTAAAGTCATTTTCTGAAGGGGCCCTTGTATTGGGGGTAGGGTCAATTATGAACCGATCCTTATAAAATTTTACGAAGAGATTTAAATTCTTATAAAACATGTTTGTGCCGAATTTCATCGCTATTGATGCTTTTCTTAGCCAGTCATGGGCGATAAAGTAATTTTCTGAAGGGGACTTAATAGGGGGGGTAGGGTCAATTATGGTCCGATCCTTATAAAATTATATGAAGAGATTTATGTTCCCATAAAACATGTTTGTGCCGAATTTCACCGCTATTGATGCTTCTCTTAGCCAGTTATGGGCGATAAAGTCATTTTCTGAAGGGGACTTTATATGGGGGGTAGGGTCAATTATGGGCCTATCCTTATAAAATTTTACAAAGAGATTTATGTTCCCATAGAACATGTTTGTGTCGAATTTCACCGCTATTGATGCTACTCTTATCCAGTTATGGGCGATAAAGTCATTTTCTGAAGGGGACTTTATATGGGGGGTAGGGTCAATTATGAGCCTATCATTATAAAATTTTAAAAAGAGATTTAGGTTCCCATGAAACATGTTTGTGCCGAATTTCACCGCTATTGGTTCTTCCCTTAGCAAGTTATGAGCGATAAAGTCATTTTTGAAGGGGACTTTATATGGGGGGTAGGGTCAATTATGGACCGATACTTATAAAATTTTACAGAGAGATTTAGGTTCCCATAAAACATGTTTGTGCCGAATTTTACCGCTATTGATGCTTCTCTTAGCCAGTTATGGGCGATAAAGTCATTTTCTGAAGGGGACTTTATATGGGGGGTAGGGTCAATTATGAGCCTATCCTTATAAAATTTTAAAAAAAGATTTAGGTTCCCATAAAACATGTTTGTGCCGAATTTCACCGCTATTGGTTCTTCCCTTAGCAAGTTATGAGCGATGAAGTCATTTTCTGAAGGGGACTTTGTATGGGGGGTAGGGTCAATTATAGACCGATCCTTATAAAATTCTACGAAGAGATTTAGGTTCCCATAAAACATATTTGTGCCAAATTTCACCGCTATTGGTTCTTCCCTTAGCAAGTTATGAGCGA